CTAACTCGAAATATGGACAATTTTATGTTAAGGGGGTCTTGAAATCTTTTGACAGCTTCCGAAGTGCTAATTTTCAACCTTTTTCAGCTGGACCAAATCACTACTTTACTTTAAAATTCATGACCCAAATTTTTTTACAGTGTAATTTCATCCCCCTACTTGCTATTTGAGGCATAAAACATGGAGAAATAAATTTGGAAGGGGTATAAAAAAAACTGGCAAGTAACACACTGTCCACACTAGGGACTATATTTGTGGACAATGAAAATCAAAGGACGATAACTGTGTACTCGGACCATATGAGTTGCTTTTGAAAACCTTGATGAAATATTAATTAATTTGCCTTAATAATCAATTCATTTAATGAACATAAATGTACAATATATGAATGTTTAATGTTTGTTCTTTCAAATCTTAAAAGAAAATTGAAGCAACATTGCCACAGTTTTCATAATTACGTTTGCCTTGGTTTTTGGTTAACTGCCTACAGCGCTTACAGTGCTTTGATTCTTCTTGGGTTCTATTTAGGGGTATTTTGAGGGCCTACAAGAGGAAGGGTTTTACTATAGAACCCTATGGGATTTTTTTTTTTTAATTTTCAAATGGCTATAACTTGAAAACAGTAAGTGATAGACACACGCGGTCTTCAGTAATGATCACAGGACAATAAAACAAATCAAATAAAATATAGATTGAGTCCCTGGGGTCACCCCACCCCCTTCTGTTTGAGAAAACGGTCGAGATCCCCACCCCTAAACGATATATATTCATGTATGGGACAATAATACAAATTAAATGAAATATAGTGGGAGTCCTTCTGGGTCACCCCACCCCCTCCTGTTTGAGAACTTGTAAACGGTCGAGATCCCCACCCAGAAACCATATATATTCTTGTGTGGGACAATAAAACAAATCAAATGAAATATAGGGGAAGTCTCTGGGGGAGACTCCCCACCCCCTCTGTTTGAGAACTTAACTGTCGAGATCCCAACCCCTAAACCATATATATTCTTGTATGGGACAATAAAACAAATCAAATGAAATATAGGGGATGTCCACAGGGGTCACCCCACCCCCTTCTTTTTGAAAACTTGTAAACGGTCGAGATCCCCACCCGAAACCATATATATTCTTGTACGGGACAATAAAACAAATCAAATGAAATAAAAGGCGAGTCACCTGGGGTCACTCCCACCCCTTTCCTGTTTGAAAACTTGTAAACGGTCGAGATCCCCACGCCTAAACCATATATATATATATATATATTCCTGTTCATGATTTCAAGAAGATTTGAATGACATACAGGGTTAATCCCTAGGCGTCACTTATGCATATCACTTTACTTGACCATACCAATTTGTACTGGACTTTGCCAAATGTCAGGCGACCATGGGAATGACTCATTATGGGAGCTTTGTTTGGGAGACTTCCTAACAGCATCCTGTTACAATTATTTTTTGTATTAAGTATTTTTTTTAAAAGTCAGAAAAAAACGTTAACCGCACAATCTACACATCTACAACCGATTTGAAATAATACACATCTACCATTGCAAACTTTCCACAGGTGCTATCCAGCTCTTTGATTTTATATGTATATACCAAAAAAAATATATTTTCTTGAATAAAAATTGTTTTGTGTTTTTTTTCATCAATTTGATGATTAATTATTAAATGTTAATTATGAACAAATGTATGATTACTGCTAATTGGTATTTATACACAGCTAAATTTGGTATTATTGTTGTATGTTTGAAAATCATGATTGTTGTTTTAACTTTCTTTGATGTAAATACTGCATGCATTTAGCTTGGTATGAGTAAAACATTGAAGATTTCAAAAGAAAAACACGAAAGATAATTGATTTTAACAACTTGGCCCCTTTGATCTCACTTTATTTTGAAACAATGAAAAAAAAAATTATATCACAACACTAACCAAAACATAATTTAAGATTTATTCAGCACAAAAAAAAAACAACTTGAGAATCTCACTTTATTTTGAAACAATGAAATCATAAATTTATAGCAATACACTAACCAAAAGATGATTAAGATTTATTCAACACAAAAACAAACGTCAGAATCTCACTTTATTTAGAAACAATGATTTTTTTTTATATAGAAATACACTAACCAAAACATGATTAAGATTTATTCAACACAAACAAATGTTGTCAGAATCACATTTATTTTGAAACAATGAACAAAAAAAATATTTACAGCAATACACTTACCAAAACTCGATTACAAAATTATTAAACATAAAACCAATAAAAAGGGTGCGAAAGTGAAAGGGGGCGAACGTGAATGGGCGTGAACGTGTTTTTGGGTGAACGGACCCGGATTCGGGCCACCAATGGGTCTTCAACACAGCGAGAAATCCCACACCCAGAGGCAGCCTGGAGCAGGCCCCAGAACACAATGTAACTAAATCAAGGAAATGATGCCATTCTATGCTCGGAAACATATAGCTGAACCAAAATTTAAAAAATATACAAGACAAACAAAGGCTAGAGGTTCCTGACTTAGTACAGACGCAAAAAGGCGGCGGGGTTAGACAGGTTTTATGAGCGCTCAACCTTCCCTCTTCACCTCTAGCCAATGTAGACATATATAACTTAAACGTCCACAATTTTGAGTGTCACTGCCAGAGAGTAAATTTTGGGGTCCCTAACAAATATTGTCTCTGCAGCTGCCCCAAAGAGCCCACTCCTAACGAAATCTGCAGAAGGGGTCTTTTACATATATGTACTATAATTTAGTTGCTATCTCCCTTTATGTTTAATATAAGTTGCTAGCTATTAAATTTGATAATAAACTACTATTTCAAAAGGCTATCTGCTTCTTCAGAAAATAACCATACTTTATATATGTCAACAATGTATTAGTTTGTGATTAGATCTAGTTTAAGGTGAACCACTAGTGGTTGGTCAATGATATTTGGCCCTGCCCCCTCAGTCATAGTCTATTGACTTTGAATCTTTTGCTTAGTTTACATGTATTAGTTTGTGATTAGGTCAGTTTATGGGGAACCACTAGTAATAAGTCAATGATATTTAGTATGCAGTTGTATAAGCACTGGTACATCTTATTTCCATGGAGATTATTTGGCTCCACCCCCTCAGTCATGGTTTATTGACTTTAAAACTTTTGCTTAGTTTACATGTATTAGTTTGTGATTAGGTCAGTTCAAGGGGAACCACTTTTTATTCTCAGCTCTTTTGAAAATCCTCCTCCCCTTCTGTGTCTGGAGCGATTTTGTTATACATGTTATTTGGCTACCCTCAGATAATCATTCCGTACACAGAATCTGAAATGGGATTTAGTGTAAAACCCATACCACAAGCTATAAAAGACAGACATAAGAAAATGTAAAACAATTCACATGAGAAAACCCAACATCATGATTTATTGTTTTTTTAGCTCACCTGGCCTGAAGGGCCAAGTGAGCTTTTCTCATCACTTGGCGTCCGTCGTCATTTTCGTCGTCGTCCGTCTTCGTGAGCTTTTTACAAAAATCTTCTCCTCTGAAACCACTGGGCCAAATTTAACCAAACTTGGCCACAATCATCATTAGTATCTAGTTTAAAAAATGTGTCCGATGACCCCGCCAACCAACCAAGATGGCCACCATGGCTAAAAATAGAACATAGGGGTAAAATGTAGATTTTGGCTTATATCTCTGAAACCAAAGCATTTAGAGCAAATCTGACATAGGGTAAAACTGATTATCAGGTCAAGATCTATCTGCCCTGAAATTTTCAGACAAATCTGACAACCTGTTGTTGGGTTGCTGCCCCTGAATTGGTAATTTTAAGGAAATTTTGCAGTTTTGGTTATCTTGAATATTATTATAGATAGAGATAAACTGTAAACAGCAATAATGTTCAGCAAAGTAAGATCTACAAATAAGTTGTCATGACCGAAATTGTCAGTCGACCCCTTTAGGAGTTATTGCCCTTAATAGTCAATTTTTAACAATTTTTTGTAAATTTTTGTAATCTTTTACAAAAATCTTCTTCTCTGAAACTACTGAGACAAATTTAACCATACTTGGCCATAATCATTATTAGGGTATCTAGTTTAAAAAAAATTTCCAATGACCCCGCCTTCCAACTATCATGGCCGACTTGGTTAAAAATAGAACATAGGGGTAAAATGCAGTTTTTGGTTTATATCTCTGAAACTAAAGCATTTAGAGCAAATCTGACAGGTAGCAAAAATGTTCATCAGATTTAGATATATCTGCCCTGAAATTTTCAGACGAATCCGACAACCCATTGTTGGGTTGCTGCCCCTGAGTTAGTAATTTTACAAAAATTTTGCAGTTTTTGTTATTATCTTAGATATCATTATAATATCTAATATCTAATACTATTAATTATGATTTTAACCTTATTTTACATGATTTCCAAAGCATCAGTAAATACAGGTGAGCGACACAGGCTCTTGAGAGCCTCTAGTTATGATGAGTTTTAACAGATGTAGAAGACGTTGACTGGTGGAGCATTGACTTTTGATTTGTCAAAATTGTCATATGCTTATTCAAAAAGTGCACTCAACACAGCAGCTTGAGGAAGATTTGTAAATAAAAAAACTGTAACGTAAGGCATTCTTGAGATAAGGCACTTTTATTTAAATTTGATGGGTGGTGGTTATTTAAGAAAGATTGCTTGAACATTTAAAGGAAATAACCAATTAAAAATTTTTGCATGGTGGGGTCAAATAAAAAGTGCATTCCGACTTATGTCCCTTCAAAACATTATATATGCAAGCGGGGGCATCATCTGTGTCCCATGGACACATTCCCCATTTATTTCAAACTATTATGAATTAATTTTTTAAAACTCTTACACTGAGCTTTGTATGGAACTATGAAAGGTTTAGACCTCTTTTTTTTTTTTCATTTAATGACAATTTTATAAAAATTCAGAGAAAGTTAACAAAATATTTAAACAGATGTGATGTAAACTGAAATTGAGCTATTTTATAATTTCAGTTTGAAGATCTATTTGTATTCATCTATTCAAGGTCGTGTCAATTTATAACTATAGGTAAGTGAACATAATAGTCAAATTGAATTGGAACGATTAATAATTTAGTTTATCAAAAAAACTACAATGTTCATGTGAATATTAAAATTCTATAAGGGGAGATAATCAAGAACTAGCTGCATGGTTCATTCTAGTAAGTAGCATTACACCAGTTCAGTGCTTTTTAATTCTTTTTTAACAGTATTAACACTTTTCACTCTGCAACTTCTATACAAAAATAACATGAAGTAATTACATATTTAATTTCATTTAAGAGTATAAAGCTAATAAAACATTGCAATCATTAAAATAGGAATTGTATATAACAATAGAGTTGTTAACTAAGAAATCAGCTGTATGAATGAAAGATGGGAGGGAGATAGTGTTCTCACTAAGGCAGTCAATGAGTCATGGATTCATGAATATCTGTCTGGACTCATCATTTTCAAAACAGATGAATCTAAAGATGCATAAGGATCATAAAATATTGTATCAACTAAGCATGCATATCATCATATCATTTTATAGCAAATGTTTAAAAATGATAAAATTTGATGTCATTTCCTTTCTCTATTTTATCATGAAGACTAAAAACAATAATTATGTAGCAATAGAATTTCATCTCACTGTTGAAATCACCATGGTCATAAATGAAGGTTCGCTGGACTTGCCTTCAGAAGTCCTTTGTCAGAATCCTAGGAGGTCTATGTCAAATCAGACAGCAACCAATCAATGAGAGATGTCAAAATGGTATTCAATGAGTCTTTATTACATGTTATTATTTCTACTTCAATACAAACATTTATATTTCCAAATTGAACATCTATTATTGATATTTATTTATAGACCCTTGTCCAGTCAATGTGATCCTCGTCCAGTCAATGTGACCCTCGTCCAGTCAATGTGACCCTCGTCCAGTCAATGTGATCCTCGTCCAGTCAATGTGACCCTCATCCAGTCAATTTTATCCTTGTCCAGTCAATGTGACCCTCGTCCAGTCAATGTGACCCTCGTCCAGTCAATGTGATCCTTGTCCAGTCATTATCCTTGTCTAGTCAAGTTTTAATTATAGGTAAGTGTACATTATTTGTGAACTATATATATCCATCTGATAAAACATTTATAATGGAAAATCCCTTTATTATCAGATAAAAAAAAAGTCTTATACTTGATTTAAAAAGCGGCATCGAATGAAATTGCTTAGGACTTTTCCAGAATTATTTGAATGGGAGTGGCGTGGGTGGGAGAGTGGGGACTTTTATTCAAATTTGATGCGTGGTGGTTATTTTAGACAGAAAGACTTTACAATTTTATAATTAAAGTAATCAATTAAAATTTTATGCATGGCGGTGATAATTAAAAAGTACATTCCTATGACCTTTCCCCCTGCCAACCAACATGGCCGACATGGCTTAATATAGAATTTATGGGTAGAATGCAAGTTTTGTCTGTTATCTTGAAAACTGCTATAGGTAGAGAAATTCTGACAGGCAGAAATGTTCAGAATGTTTACATCCACCCACTGTTCACTTGCATCGATCAAAATTGGCCTACAACTTCTTATAGGAGTTATTACCCTTGAATGACCAATTGTACCATTTTTTCTTGCAAGGTCTACATGTTTTACATATTTTACAAATCTTTAAAAATCATATAAATGCAAAGTTTTTAGTATTTGTTAATTGGTATTATCATTTGATATAAAAATAAAGAGATGTAGTATGATTGCCAATGAGACAACTATCCGCCAAAGTAAAAATAAGGAGATGTAGTATGATTGCAAATGAGACAACTATCTTCCAAAGTAAAAATAAGGAGATGTAGTATGATTGCCAAAGAGACAACTATCCGCCAAAGTAAAAATAAAGAGATGTTGTATGATTGCCAGTGAGACAACTATCTGCCAAAGTAAACATAAGGTGATGTGGTATAATTGCCAATGAGACAACAATCTTCCAAAGTAAAAATAAGGAGATGTAGTATAATTGCCAATGAGACAACTATCCGCCAAGTGAAAATAAGGAGATGTGGTATGATTGCCAATGAGAACTATCTGCCAAAGTAAAAATAAGGAGATGTGGTATAATTGCCAATGAAAACTATCCACCAAAGTAAAAATAAGAAGATGTGGTATGATTGCCAATGAGAACTATCCACCAAAGTAAAAATAAGGAGATGTGGTATTATTGCCAATGAGACAAATATTGGCCAAAATTAAAATAAGGCGATTTGGTATGATTGCCAATGAGACAACTATCTGCCAAGTAAAAATTAGATGTGGTATAATTGCCAATGAGACAACTATCTTCCAAAGTAAAAATAAGGAGATGTGGCATGATTGCCAACAAGAACTTTTCACTAGAGTTAAAATAAGGAGATGTTGTATGATTGCCAATGAGAACTATCCGCCAAAGTAAAAATAAGAAGATCTGCTGTAGTAAAAATAAGGGGATGTGGTATGATTGCCAATGAGATCTATCCGCCAAAGTAAAAATAAGAAGATCTGCTATAGTAAAAATAAGGAGATGTGGTATGATTGCCAATAAGAACTATCCAACAAAGTAAAAATAAGGAGATGTGGTATGATTGCCAATAAGAACTATCCACCAAAGTAAAAATAAGGAGATGTGGTATGATTGCCAATGAGACAAATATTGGCCAAAATTAAAATAAGGAGATGTGGTATGATTGCCAATGAGACAATTATCCGCCAAGTAAAAATAAGGATATGTGGTATAATTGCCAATAAGACAACAATCTTCCAAAGTAAAAATAAGGAGATGTGGTATGATTGCCTATGAGAACTATTCGTCAGAGTAAAAATAAGGAGATGTGGTATAATTGCCAATGAGACAACTATCTTCCAAAGTAAAAATAAGGAGATGTGGTATGATTGCCAACAAGAACTTTTCACTAGAGTTAAAATAAGGAGATGTGGTATGATTGCCAATGAGAACTATCCGCCAAAGTAAAAATAAGAAGATCTGCTATAGTAAAAATAAGGGGATGTGGTATGATTGCCAATGAGATCTATCCGCCAAAGTAAAAATAAGAAGATCTGCTATAGTAAAAATAAGGAGATGTGGTATGATTGCCAAAGAGAACTATCCAACAAAGTAAAAATAAGGAGATGTGGTATGATTGCCAATGAGAACTATCCAACAAAGTAAAAATAAGGGGATGTGGTATGATTGCCAATGAGATCTATCCGCCAAAGTAAAAATAAGAAGATCTGCTATATTAAAAATAAGGAGATGTGGTATGATTGCCAATGAGAACTATCCAACAAAGTAAAAATAAGGAGATGTGATATGATTGCCAATGAGAACTATCCACCAAAGTAAAAATAAGGAGATGTGGTATGATTGCCAATGAGACAAATATTGGCCAAAATTAAAATAAGGAGATGTGGTATGATTGCCAATGAGACAATTATCCGCCAAGTAAAAATAAGGATATGTGGTATAATTGCCAATAAGACAAGAATCTTCCAAAGTAAAAATAAGGAGATGTGGTATGATTGCCTATGAGAACTATTCGTCAGAGTAAAAATAAGGAGATGTGGTATAATTGCCAATGAGACAACTATCTTCCAAAGTAAAAATAAGGAGATGTGGTATGATTGCCAACAAGAACTTTTCACTAGAGTTAAAATAAGGAGATGTGGTATGATTGCCAATGAGAACTATCCGCCAAAGTAAAAATAAGAAGATCTGCTATAGTAAAAATAAGGGGATGTGGTATGATTGCCAATGAGACAACTATCTGCCAAGTAAAAATTAGGAGATGTGGTATAATTGCCAATGAGACAACTATCTTCCAAAGTAAAAATAAGGAGATGTGGAATGATTACCAATGAGAACTATTTGCCAGAATAAAAATAAGGAGATGAGGTATGATTGCCAATGAGAACTATCCACCAAAGAAAAAATAAGGAGATGTGGTATGATTGCCAATGAGAACTATCCGCCAAAGTAAAAATAAGAAGATCTGCTATAGTAAAAATAAGGAGATGTGGTATGATTGCCAATGAGAACTATTCGCCAGAGTAAAAATAAGGAGATGAGGTATGATTGTCAATGAGACAACTATCCGCCAAGTAAAAATAAGAAGATCTGCTATAGTAAAAATAAGGAGATGTGGTATGATTGCCAATGAGAACTATTCGCCAGAGTAAAAATAAGGAGATGAGGTATGATTGTCAATGAGACAACTATCCGCCAAGTAAAAATAAGAAGATCTGCTATAGTAAAAATAAGGAGATGTGGTATGATTGCCAATGAAAACTATTTGCCAGAGTAAAAATAAGGAGATGTGGTATGATTGCCAATGAGAACTATCCACCAAAGTAAAAATAAGGAGATGTGGTATGATTGCCAATGAGACAACTATCCGCCAAGTAAAAATAAGAAGATGTAGTATAATCGCCAATGAGACAACTATCTTCCAAAGTAAAAATAAGGAGATGTGGTATGATTGCCAATGAGAACTATTTGCCAGAGTAAAAATACCCATACAGAAAAAATGATAGGATGGCCAACTGCATTGCTCAACTGGCCGCCAGTTGAACAAACAGTTGAGGGCCAGTTGAGGGCTAGCTGGCCATCAGTTGAGCAAATAGTTGAGGGCCAGTTGAGGGCTACCTGGATTTTTGCCATGCAAATTAGGTAGCCCTCAACTATCAAATGCTCAACTTTATGCAAATTAGATGAGCAAGGTTGAGAAAATATCATAGTTGAGGGCTAGGTGTCCAACAGTTGAGCAATTAGAGTTGAGGGCTACCTGGCCAACAGTTGAGGACCAGGTCATTAAAAGTTGAGGGCTAGGTGGCCAATAGTTGAGGGCCAGGTCATTAAAAGTTGAGGGCTAGGTGGCCAATAGTTGAGGGCCAGGTCTTTAAAAGTTGAGCATTACATGTATCTGGTCATTGCAAACTGATGACTACACATTGTAGAAAAAATAAATTTAAATTGTGTATTTTATATAGCCAAAATACTGCTGAAAGATCTTAACACACAACA